CCCCAAAACCCCAAAACCCCAAAACCCCAAAGCTGATGAGCCAGGTTGAATTTGAGAAGTTAATTTTTATGATAAAATATCTTGTGTTTAATAATGGTGTCTTTACAAGCCTTATCACATCTCCCCAGTGTTTTCTCTAAGAGTTTAAGTTCAAGTTTGCGATGATTTAGTTATTCTTCGAACCACAGCAGAAGAGCCAAAGTTTAATTTAGACTAACTTCTCGCCATCTTCATCCTGCTTTTTATAGGTCCGAAAGCCTTCTCAATGCGATCCATCTACTAACAGTAGGAAAGAAGAAGCATAGTCTGTTATGTATCTTGTTTCAAAGTCTTGAAGCATGGGGGACCGTTTTATCGATTGTAATAACTAAGAATTGCTTTCAACTTCATCAGGCCTCTTGATCGAACAAGTAGAGAAATATTGAGAAATTTTTAGCCTCACCATCCCAATATTTATGTAAGAGAACCAACTTCAGTCTCAAGCACTTGCGAGGATCAATATTCATTTGCCTTTTGGTCTACCACTGAGCTTTTCACGTACCCTTCACTAGAAGCTAAGCCTGCCTCTTGCTTACACTTTTGTTGGAGCTAGATTCATCATTGCGGATACAACTCTGCCAAGAGTGAACCATGCACAAGAGATCGCTACAGAAAAGAGCTTTCACCAGCTTATTTCTGTAGGTCCGATTTCTAGGGCTGCATAAGCATTAAGTTCTGAATCCATACATGAAACTTCTTTACAAGGAAGTTCTAATCCTAGAAGACGAGATGTGAAGCTCTGAGTGTGCATTAACTTTCTCATATGTTAATTGCATTGGTGAAGAGTTCTATATGACTTCATTACTCTCAATTTATTTCTCTCGATCTGTCCTTACTGAGAAAATGGTGGCTTCAATTTCGTTTTCTTATCTTCAGTATCATCTTCTCCAACCTTGAACATTATCTTCATTCTGTATCAAGATGATTTTAGAATATTTAGTACCCTGGCAATATGTCCCAAGCTGCAAAAATACTTAGATGCCAGATGCAATACTTTTGCTACATAATTTCTGTTTATCTTCCATCTAGACAACTTCAAGTAGGATTTTTTTTAAAGCCATCGGATCTGTCTTTTGATCTACATTAGTCTATCTTCTTTGCTGTTTCTTCTGCTTTCCTCGTCTTAAGATATTTTAAAACTCTGAGTTTTCACCAAATTTCCTAGAAACTCTGTCTATGCTGATCCTTTCTATCAAGAGGCAAGTATTAAAATCAATAACCTCTTGAAAATCTTCATTGAATCAATTTTATTACTTCCAATTTCTCTGTTCTTCTGGGGCAAGGACTTGCTTTACCTTTTAACTCATTGCTAGAACTTTCTGATAAATTCCAAAACTTGATGGTAGTCCTCGAGAGACTGGCCTTGTATAGCTCCTCTCAGGTTTGGGAATGAGGATAAGTACGCTGTGGACTCTTCTTGCTGACCTTCGATTCTTTGAAAGTAACTTTACGGGTTTGATTTTCATCAATTTTGCTCAGCATCTGGTGGCATTAATTAATGTAGTATATTTTAAAAATTTCTAAACCTGTTCAGGAAGAAGGTGCATTCAACGGTAAAAATTAGAGTCAAGCTGATGCATATATTTAATTAATGAAAGATCAACCAGTCATGAACATGAAGCTCATCAGCTTGCTTTAACTAGGAGGCAAAGTTTCTCCAAATACGAGCTCTATCGGCTCCTCACTTCAGAAGGACAGGCATTTCTGCCTCCATATAACCAATGAACTGTAAAATGTATATATCAGATATCATTAGTGAAAGGAAGAGATATTTGCAGACAAGAAACGTCAACACCTGGAATCTTTCTAATTTTAATGGGCTGAAGACAGAATGTCTAGTCCAGTTCTTTGCAGAGCAGTGAGATGGGGAGAAATATCTTCCAAATAAGTGGAAGGTGATGTAGCTTTCAAGATAGTGGATTAGTAGCTTACGCAATCCTTTGGTGTAAATTCTGATAAGTAAAACTCTTCAGAGTAAAAAGTTTTAAAAAATTAGTCAAAGACGATATCAAGCTTAGGTAAATGAAGGTTCTGGGAAGAAAGAACTTAACTGTGGACATTCTCCATGCTATTAAAGAGTTGTTTGAGCAAATAGAATGGTATAAAGTAAGAAATTATCTCTTTCTGACAGATAATAGTAAACAAAGGATGAAGTTGTTGATACTGAATAAGATAAAACAACTAAAAAAGAAGAGATGAAATATAAGGAGGTTGGAGAGAAGAGAGGCAGAATAAGTTTATTGCTAACCTCAAGCTATAAATACCGAAACTAAAGGATTAGCTTCTCGTTTCTCGACACGAGAGGGATACTATAATGAGGAACAGAGATATCTTGAACCACCTATTTGACGAGAACATAACTAATATGTATGGTAATCCGCCTACCTCAAGACAAAGATAATCATTAACTTATGTATAAAATTTAGTGTACTAGCTGTAAATTGAATATTTATTAAACCTTTAGATAGAAAAGATATGCTGCATAGGAGATCCTCCGAATTAGGAGAATCGCTATTGTGTTGACAAACTTGTTGCTCTCAAAATTTCTATGATTTTTAATACTAAAACTTTAAGGCTTTTTCTCAGCAAGTATCGCTTCTCATGCCCACTGAATGGTTCTGGTTTGAGTGAGAATTTAGTATAGGAACCCTATTAGGCTTTCAAGTCATTAATCTTCTAAACTCTTCTAAAGAAGGTCTTCTCTCACTCTTGTTTATCTGCTTTTGAGAATTAAATTCTTTAAACAAGTCTTATCTAACTCTAAGACCTTCTTATGGCAATAGGACACATTCTGATCAATTTTGGATTGGGTGGCCTGGATCAAAATTTCTAGTGAGGACTTCTAAGCCTGTCCGAAAGGGTTCATTTGAACGCAAGTATTGGAAAGAGTTTGCACTCTTCAGGTATACTTCTTGTCTTATTAGAGATAGTTGTTATTCGCAAATAGTCTGACAACAATCTCATTGTGGTATCTGAATTGTTCAATCATCAGATGGCCAGAAGGTTTTTGACATTTACAAGGTTCCAATCTGTGGACCAATAAGCTTTAATATTCCTTCCATCAAAGTGAATTCTGTTCAAAGGTGCAGAACAGTTAAACACTTTAAAAGAAAGGAAGAAATGCATCAAAAATTAAAGCTGATTAATTTGCTCTACATTTAAACTAAAGAAACTCATATGCCCTTATTATAGATAATCTGCTTTCAGCTTCTCAGTTCAACAAGAAAAGAGGATCAAGGACAGACCTAGAAGTATTAGCTTAAGAATATAAATGTGGGGAAAGTTCTCTATAAAACTTAGACTTCGAATGATTAAACTCCTTTTTTGTCGATAGTAGAATTTCCTTTAGCATCTATGCACTTTGACTAGAAGAGTATGTGCATAATATCTTCATTTTTATCTTTCTCAGGAAGTTTTCTCTGAATTCCCTTATTCTTTCATTAAACAATGAATCTTGTTATTTTTAGCATTGTCCTTATCCTTTAATTCATTGATAAGCTTTCTGATGTTTCCCTTTATTACTATTTGAGGTCAAATAACGAAGCCATCTACTTATAATTTAGCAATATTGATTTTCCTTAATGAATCGAGGATATCCAAAAGACTGAACATGCAGAAGACCAAGAACAAGAGAATGCAGCCTTGTGATAGATTGAAAACACTCCTAAAGAAATACCTGTAACTTTTCTGATACATAAAGAACCCGAACACCAAAAAGCAATTGAGAATGAAGAACCTGGCAGCTCTTCCAAGTCATACACAGAAACCTAAATGCTATCTTCCTACACAAAGAAGATCAAAACCAAAGAAAGCAAGATGAAATATATCAAGTAAATTTAAAAGAGCTCTGAGTGGTACCAAATTCAGAATGCAAGTCGATACCATTGTTTAACTCTCCCAATTCTTTCAAACAAGTGAGAAAACAAGTCCCCTGAAATTGAGGTTTCTCTATAAAAGCCAGAAAATGGTGAGAACCTTCTTTAACCTAACTTTCCTACTGCCAAGGTGCTTCTAGTTGCTAGAAGTAGAGGAGAGCTGCTGACGAATATAGAGAGACGAAATAAGAAGAGCGTTATTTTCAAGAGAAGAAGTAGGGGAAGAAAGTTTGCCACAGATTTATGGTAAGCTTCTCCAATGTGAAAAAGCTCTTGATAGAAGACAAGACTCAAATCAGTAGTAAGAATAGACTGATCGAGCTTATGATAAAGCTTTTGGGTCTAAAAATGTGCTACTGCTAGTAGAAAACTTAGTATTTTCACAAGAATTCTCATTTTAATGAACTGAAGTTTGAAATATAAAAAGAGAATTTTCACATCAATTTAGACAAATATTTCAGAATAAAATCTATTAAGGTGTATTTGAAGATATATTTCAAAAATCAGCATTTATGTCAAAAAAGTCTTAAAACTGCAATTTACTTTCAAACAAAGATTATTTTAATGATTCTCTTTGAAGAAGATCCAAGAAACCGCAACAATAGTAAATATTGACGAGGAATCGATTTTTGGATGGCAAAGTCTCATTATTCATTAACTCAGAGAAGAATCGCTTGGAAGATAAAAATTGTATTCTAAACCTCTCTGAATACAATATTCACAGATATCTACAAATGGGATTTCTTCTTCAGTTTTAACCATTTCCATACCTAACTCTACTAGAATCAACTGATTTGTAGATTCACCCCTATCTGATATTGACCAAAAAGAAGAAGTTGGGTGATAAGATTCACCACCAGGTCTAGAAATCTCAAACCCCTAATTCTAAGCTAACCTTGGTATTTTTAGCACATAAAAGAGTGAGGTACTAATTTGTTCCTCCTATCCTCCAAGATGATCTTCTCCATTACTCTTCTCTGAACTATTAAAGGTATCCTAGCTATGGCTAAGAAGCTAACTTTGAGGCTATTATTAACCTTAGACCTATAATATAAATAGCCATCATGTTTCATTGAATTTGGACGGTACGAATCAGAGCAAGGAATACCTAAACCAGAGGAGAGAAACAGAACATCTGATTAAACAATTTACATAATGAGGTAAGACAAGAAGGAAATTTATTTAATAAAATGGTAGTTTTAGACTTATTGGAAATAAATACAGGGTAGTTCCTGAATTTATCAAACTAGATAACTGAGCTCAAGAGAGCACGAGTAAGTTTAGGGAATGAATGGTGTTTAAGGGGATAAGCGGAGTAAGAGAAGAAATGGAGGTCAAGGTCTTTGAGGAATAAGTCGGGTAGTAGGAATAGACTGAATAATCGGTATTATTGAAGTTGAAAAAGGAACAACCTACAAATATCATTGCTGGACCATTAATTGACAAGGAGTCTATCACCAAAGGAAGGGTTTTATAAGAGGTGAACAAAGCTGTATTGAATGGAAATCTAATAGCATTCTCCAAATGATTGCCACTGGTATTTGATAGTTCCTTGTCAGAATAGCAACATCACATGCCTGATCAATTCGATGTTAGCAGTTAATTACCTCCTCAAGTACTGAGCAGGTAAAAATATTATAAATTCAATAAGTTATTAGACCAGAGGGGTTTTGGGGTTTTGGGGTTTTGGGG